GGAAGCAGGAGGAGATCATTTCCCTGGGCCACCTAGCCATGCTTGGAGACAATTTGGGTCGTCATAACTTGGGGTGAGGTACTATTGGAATCTAGTGGGAGGAGACCAGGATTGTCACTGAAGATCAAATCATTCTGCATTGCTCAGGACAGACTCCCACCACCTGTGTGTTAGTCATTTCATAGTGGTGACTAAAACATCTGACAAGGACAACCTAGAGGAGGAAAGGCTTATTGTGGCTCATGGTCCAGAGGTTCAGTCCATGGTTGGCTGGATCCTTTGCTCTGGCCTGAGATGAGGCAGAACAACATGACAGAGGAAAGCTGTTAGCTCCTGGCCGTCAGAAAGCAGAGAGGAGGCGGGGGTGGGGGTGGAGAAGAGAAAAAGACGGAGTACACAAAGTCATGCCCCTCATACTACTACTGCTTCTTCCAGCCATGCCCCATCCGTGGATAGTTCCACCCAGCAGTCCATTCAAATTATTAATCCATCAAATGGATTAATCCATTCACCGGGTAATAGCCTTCACAGTGTGTCATTTCTCTCCTGAACATTGTTGTCTTTCATGAGCTTTCAGAGAAACATCCCAGATGCAAACCGTATCACTCTGCAACAAAGAACTCTCTATCATGCCCAATGTCACTAGTGCTGATATCCAAAAACCCTGAACTAGTGGGGAAAAGGGCCCTCTAGTATCCCTAACTACTCCTCTAGATCACTACTTGTGTAGTTGTTTACAAGTTAAAAAACTTCTTTGAATCTTAATTTTTTTTTCTGTAAACATAGTATAAATGGGCTGTAATCAATAGGATTGCATATGCCTAATACTAATAGAGTTCTTTGGGGGTAGGACCTAAGAGAGGACTATTTTCATCCTGCCACACATCAAGAGGTGACATTTTCAGGTCTGATTCTGCTGCCTTGTTTGGGAAGGACACTGCGTGAACAGGTCTGATTCTTCAAACCTTCTCCTCTTGCTCACAAAGTGGTGACGGATGCGCTGAACATTGCCTCCTTACATGCCAGTGTCCGAATGGAAAGAGAAGAGTTTCTTCCTCTTATCTGAAGGAAAATGATTTCTGGAAGCTTCTTGCCATCTGCTTTTGAGTCTCATTGGCCCCATTTGGGTCACATGTCTATTCTTAGATGTACTACTGTCCAAGTGAGGAGCCACTGGGGGATGTAGGAAGGCAGAGCCTACAGCGGTGAATTCCCCGGGTCTTCTTCAGTTCAGGACTGCGCCTCTCACAGGGGCTTCATGCCTCCATGACAGCAGCTCAACAGAGCTGCTCCTGTCCAGGCTGCAACCCTCAAATGTCAGCAGCAACCTTAGCCACCCCTCGGGTCTGCAAGCTTAGTGTGTTAGTCAGCTTCTTTATTATTATTATTATTATTTATATATGACAGCAGAATGCATTACAACTCTTATTACACATATAGAGCTCAATTTTTCATATCTCTGGTTGTATACTTAGTATACTTACACCAATTTGGGTCCTCATACATGTACTTTGGATAATAATGATACATGTACTTTGGATAATAATAATAATAATAATTAATAATGATTAATAAACATTCAACCATCATTAATTACCCCATGACCCCTCCCTTCCCCTCCCACCCCTGTGCCCTACCTAGAGTTCATCTATTCCTCCCATGCTCCTGCTCCCTATCCCTCTATGAATCAGCTTCCTTATAGCAAAGAAAACATTTGGCATTTGTTTTTTGGGGATTGGCTAACTTCACTTAGCATTATCTTCTCTAACTCTATCCATTCACCTGAAAATCCCATGATTTTACTCTCTTTTATTGCTGAGTAATATTCCATTGTGTAGATATGCCACATTTTCTTTATCCATTCATCTACTAAGGGGCACCTAGGTTGGTTCCACAATTTAGCTTGTGAATTGTGCTGCTATAAACATTGATGTGGCTATGTCCCTGTAGTATGTTGTTTTTAAGTCCTTTGGGTATAGACTGAGGAGAGGGATTGCTGGGTCAAATGGTGGTTCCATTCCCAATTTTCCAAGGAATCTCCATACTGCTTTCCATATTGGCTGCACCAATTTGCAGTCCCACCAGCAATGTATGAGTGTGCCTTTTTTCCCACATCCTCGCCAACACTTATTGTTGTTTGTCTTCATAATAGCTGCCATTCTGACTGGAGTGAGATGAACACTTAGAGTGGTTTTGATTTGCATTTCTCTAATTGCTAGTGTTAGTCAGCTTTTTATCACTGTGATCAAAATAGCTGACAAGAACAACTTAGAGGAAGAAAAGTCTGTTTTGGCTCGCAGTTCCAGAAGTTTAGTCTATGGTTGGCCCTGGGGTGGAGCAGATGAACTTGGCAGAAGTGCGGGTGGAGGAGTGCTGCTCAGTTCATGGAAGCCAGGAAGCAGAGAGAGAGGAGAGGGCTGCAGGGAAGAGGCACCCTTCCAGAGCCTGGACCTCCTCCACCTCCTCCAGCCACGTCCCACCAGCCTGTGGTGACCACACAGTCCATTCAAGCTAGGACAGACTGACCAGGACACAGCTCTCATAATCTAATCATTTCACTCTGAATATTCTAGCATTAACACAGGAGTCTCTGGGGGACCCCTCATTTCCCACCGCAGCACTCAGGTTACGCACAGCTTCCTGCCCGGTGGGTCCTGGGGCCATCTTCCCCCCTTGGAGGTTTCCTTAGCTCAGCACATACCTCGGCTCTTGGTGCCTCATCTAATTCTCTTTATAGTCTCTTGGATTGTGAGTTCTGTTTCCTGCCAGGACCATGACAAGGACAAGTTCTTCGTCCCTGGATTTGTCATCTTTGGTACCCCACTTATGTCATAAAGATGGGTTACTTTCAGGTTTATAGTTTGTGGGACTCTTTTTCCTGACGATGAAGTCATCTTCTGGAAGTTTCTGTGTTTCTTCTCCCAAAATGGCTAGATTGAAGTCTAACCCACAGAAACACAGGCCTGCAAGGGAGGAATAGGCATTTTATGTTAGATTTTAGGATGAAGATAATGTGTTTCACCACTTGAATGTTGGTATCTCGAGTTACCATGCTGTTCTGGTTATGTTTGCACTTTGCCCTATTTTAAAATTCCCCTGTTTTTAAACTCTTTGGTTTTCTGCATCACTTGGGGTGAACTGCCACATGTTGTTTGTTAAATGTGTGTTAAGGGTCATTAGGAAGGACAATCACCTGCCCCTAAGTCACACACAGCAGCCCCATGGTACCCGCTTGGCACAGTCCTGCCCTGTTCATCCATTCACCAATAGCCAGCTCAGCAGGAGACACCTTGTATTCCTGAGCATACCCAATGAGCCCCAACTGTCCTCAATTAAAAACAAGCTATGAAGTGTTTTCAATGTGAAAGTTCCCCAAAGAGTAGGAGGTCCCTTGTCTTTTTATCTCTAGTAAGAACTCTTGTCACCAGTTTCCGTCCCAGCAAGACACCTCCAAGCCAGAGGCAGACAGACATGGCTAAGATTTGGGGACCCTTGAAAACTGAGTTCCTTATAGTCCAGACTTGGTCTTGTCTGAGCCTGAGCTTCATTTGCATGCTTCCAGGGAGGCAAACAGGTACTTTATTTGTTTGTGAAGCCAAATAGAACTGTCTCGGGCAGGTGTGTGATACTGTCAGTGTCACTTCCAGCCTACACGCACCCTGTGGGCACCACAGTGGAAGAAAACTGGCTTTGCAGGGCTCCCCAGAGCACCCCGCACCCTGTCCCTGACAATACAGTCACAGCAGTAATGACAGGTGTGAATAGTCAGAGTACTATGGACCTGTATTGTGTAAACATTGTACAAATGTTCTGTCTGGTCACCAATATTCCTAGATGCCAGTTCCATGGTCAGTCAAGCCACTGATGCTTTGTATAGTACAAGCAACAATGGCACTGTTCATGGATCAGGCAGTGGTCTGGGTGTAGAGCATGTGAGCACTTGTTAGCACAGGCCTGCTTAAATCACAGGGAGAGTAACTACAGATCCGTCATGCATGTATGCAGGAGTCTTCTGGACAGGGGAAAGAGGAAGGCCATTAAAAGGGTGGAGAATGAATGTGGAAAATCCCCAACAGCAGGATCTTTGCTGCTTTGCCAAGAGAATCTGTCCAGTTGGTAGTTTGAGTCCACATGGCAGGCAAGGCTTGGAGCAGCAGCATGGTCTGCATCCAGGCAGGAGCTGCAGATGGACACCCCGGGGCCGGGGAATGGGCATGTTTTCCTGGTGGGCAATGGTGGGAGCACTCAGCACTTGGCAGCCGTGACGCTCTTTGTCACCACTCGAGCTGCCCTCAGCCTCAGCAGTCCTCACCAGCTCCTTCACCTGCACTGTCTTCACCTGAGGGGCCAATACAGTGTCCATCCCAGATCCCAGATGCTTGTTGACTGTTCCCTGCTCAGGGACCATAGCCCTGGCCGTGAGCCACATGGGACTTTGCAGGTGGTAATGATACGTGTGGAGCCCCCACTGGCCTGCAGAGTCCCAGAGGCTTGATTGGGTCCTGGCCCCCGGAGCTGCTGCAGCTCCCGTTGCCCACGGGCTCTCAGAGCATGTGAACCCTACCTTGCCAGGTAGAGGCGCCCCTGGAGCTGGGTGGGTTTCCATAACTACTTCACCAATGTTTCATTTTTAATAATGTACTTACACAGGCAACAGGTGTGTACCTTGGTGGTGTTTTCACTCCCGTTAATCTTGCTCCTTGGATTTCCCATATCAGGGGACCATACTTCCCAAACCCTATTGCCAGGTCAGGGGCATCTTTCACTCTTTCATCCCTTCCTCCTCCTTTCTTTCCCTCATTTTTCCTTCTTCTTTCCTCTGTAACTCCCTCCCCAACCGTTGACCCCAGGGCTCCACTTTGACTTGGTCCCTCACACATCCCTGTAATTTTAGAAACACTCCTCCGTGGGGTTCTGATGTCTCCAGGGCTCTTCCAAGGTCACTCCGACTCACTTGCAGTTTAACACGTCCCGGCACTCTCACTTCTGTCTGCTCCTAGATCAGGAATCTCACTGTGGACGGGCACTTTGGACCATGGTCTCCGTGGACGCCCTGCACGCACACGGATGGCACTGCTGTGGGATCCTGCCTCTGCCGGTCCCGTTCCTGTGACAGCCCGGCCCCCCAGTGTGGCGGCTGGCAGTGCGAAGGCCCCAGCATGGAGATCGCCAACTGTTCCAGGTGCGTCCCCCAGACTGCTCTGGTGTACTCAGGTGCTGGGGCATTCGGTAAATCATTCCTAATGCACACCTTTCCTAGGAGACAATGGGGGGCGAAAAGGCCGGGGGACATCCACCTCTTAAAATTTACGGGGTCTGGGGAAGAAAAAATTAAATTATAAATTAGAAGGAATTTAAAACTACAAGTTAGATCATAAATCTAAACCTGTTCATATGCTCATCATTAGTGTAGGAAAAATATTACTAATTTACGCCGCATGATTGGATTGGTTCCGGGGTGTGTCCATGTTACTGAAATAAACTATTTCTGCAATACATAGACAATCATCCCCACTGTAGAACAAATATATTAGGTGGAAGATAGAAGAAGCCAAATCTTTTCATGATCAGAAGTCTGCTCTGTAGTCAGAGCTCAGGTCTCCACTTAGTGACACTGGGCTCTGGGTGACCAGGAGAACACTTCAAATAATGTGATCCATGGAGTAGGTTTCCTGTTTTCTTTGTTAAAAATGAATGAATAAATAAATTTTGTAAAGCTACACTAGTTTACATCGTGCCCTGCTCCTGTAGCACCCTGTCCACAAACATCAGTACATCCTCTGAGACAGTCTTCAGGCACCCTCCTTGCGTGTACACTAATGCAGAATGTTAAAAAGTGTTCTTCTTGTCATGAGCCCATCTAAACATGCAGAGAGCATGTGGACATTTGTCTATGAAGTCACAGACAGAGGAAATTCTGTGGGGGGAATCAAACTATGCAAGAACCCTGGACAGGAAGTCTCAGCATGCCCTAGAGAAGGGATAAGAGAGGGGACATGCAGATAGGACAGGTGATGTTGGCATCTGCTGACAGTCTTTGCAGGGTAATTGGCTCACCCACAAAGTTGAAGGAGCCATTTGGGGCTGCAGAGATAAGATTGTACAACAGAAGGCACGGGCACCATCAAATTGTGTGTTGCCTGCTGTCCACACTCTAAGTGGCCACCATTGATGACAGGCAGAAACTTCATAAATGCTGCCAAGCTGCCATCATCTGAAGATTACCATAAGTGGCTGATGTCCTTTCTATACTGCTTAATTACAAAAGAGCTATCTGAGTGCATTGTTGACTGGTTTATTTATACATCTTCAGTGTTTATTCTAGTCAGAAAGTCATTATCTAAGTTGTCTTGAAATACAACGGGTGGTTATTTTAAACTTAAAAATCAAATAAGCGAACCAGTTCTAACAATATTTTAAACACATAAGTGAATTGTCTCATACACACTTAATCATTGAGATGTTCCAGCTGACGATATGTGATTAGTCTGTGATGCTTTTTTGGTTGCCTGCTGCTGTGTCTACCACTGGACAGCATTTAGAAGCATGTCAACCCAGTTCCATGTAGTGAACACATACATTTACAATTGCATTCATTTATTTCATCACTTATTCTGTGTATTATAAGAAGAATATATCATAAAATTCCACATTTGTTAAAATGTTTAGGAAATTAAGAATTTCAAAACAATTTTGAAAGCAGTGTTTTCAGCATCATCTAACATTTATTTTATATGTAAATAAGCTGAATATTTCAATTAATTACTTGAGTAATTTGTAAGAATATAGTTAGAGGGTAAAGAAACTAGCTAATTATTTTTAAGAAAAACATGGAAGTCTTACTTTGATTAAATTACCATAAAGCAGCTTTATTATAATATGCACAAGGCTAACAATGTAGATTTTATTTATATCACTGCTAAGTTTCAGCAAATAAAGTGGGGAATATTAGGTACACTAAGAAACTTCTTTGAGGAATTTTCATTTTAGATTGTCTTAAAGTTAAGGTTTAAATTATTATTTATACCTGTGTTTTTAGTGGCATAGTTGTGGACCTGGTGTTTCTAAAGGAATGTACAAAGTAAAAAACAGAGAGTTTAAGTGATTCGATTTCCCCACCCTGTGGAAACACAAATCCCATGGGTGAGATTAGGAGTACCTATGGAAATCCACATGTGGTACAGAAGTAGAACTCACTCCACATGCACTAGACCCTCTACATGGGAGTTTGAACTCTGCATTTAATCGATATCTGAATACCTAAAATCCCCAAATACCTACAATTTATTTTTTAATATCAGGGAAGAATAGCTAAGGGAGACGTCTAAATTATAAATGACCATGAATTTAGGCATTTTAAGGAAAAAAATATAATACTGAAATAATTCCTCTTGTTGTCAATCATGGTTTATTTTATAAAATCATCTAATTCTACTTTTATTTTATAATTTTGTCTATCTGCATTATTGTATGTCTGTGATGCATAGAGACAGATTCATGTAATTTGCACTCCTTGTTTATGCTGTTTATATTTTGTCACTTTTCAAGGATCTGAACTTAAATGTTCCTCCTTCATTTGTATCAGAGGTCTGACTTGACACCTGAGCCTGGTAGCACTCTTTGTGCACACGATGCCCTCAGGAGGGTTGCTCACTCTCTCTGATGTTAGTAGATCTGAAAGGAGGTGTTGGTAGAGTTTTAAATGACTCTTTGGTTCCCAGCTGCACTTTCCAGAGATGATAATGGATGCAATACAAGTCAAACAAAATCACAAAATCTGGATATTTAGGGATTTACTTCTAATTGCTTTTTAGTAAAATAAACTATTAACATTTTTCATGACTAAAGTTTCTTAGTTTCGTGACACCGCTCATTTAAAATGATTTACAGTGTGCTTAAAATTGCATTTTTAAATTTCCTGTCTTACCTCTAAAATCAGATGTCAAGGAGTAGGGGGCTCACAGTCATTGAAGTTCCCCTGACCCAGTCCATTCAGGCCATCCTGGCATTCCCTCTCCCCAGGGGCACCACAGTCATGTGGTGACCCAGGGCCATGTGCATTTGCGGTGGGTGCGCAGGGGCTTGGACTCTGAGCCAGTGTGACCTAGTGATTGTGTGGCTTCTTTTCCCTAGGAACGGAGGCTGGACTCCCTGGACCTCATGGTCGCCCTGCAGCACCACCTGTGGGATCGGCTTCCAGGTGCGGCAGCGGTCTTGCAGCAACCCCACCCCCAGGCATGGGGGCCGGGTGTGTGTGGGACAGAACCGTGAGGAGAGGTACGTGCCAAGCTGCCCAGCAGAGTATCCCCAGCTTCCTCCCATTGGTGTGGTCAGTTTCCGTTTGGATCGAGCTGAGCTTATCTGTGGCATCCCTTTTGGTTGAGCTGAATTATCCTCTTCCTTTTGTGACATCTTTATTTTGACCAAAACCTCCTATTAAGAGCACTTTTCCCGTTCTGCTGCCTGCATGGTTGGGCTGGCTCAGCTGAGGAATTCCCAAGGCTATGGAGACACCCAGGCTGCAGGCCTCTCTGAGATGGGCTCCTGGAAACTCAGAAAATGAGTCTGCTGGAGAACGATCATTCTTGAGAGACCTCAGCTACACCAGTCACCACAGCTGCAATTCCCAGGAGAACCCAAAAGGGTCAGGTCCAGGTGCTGTGGGGCAGGTAAAGTAAAGTTTGCATCAGAACAAAATGCAGCAGCTGGAATACAGGTGCAAACACACTGAGGCTTTGGTTGTGTTCACAGCCACACACTAATTGTTAACAAACACCCTCGGGGAGGATGCATCGGACCTGAAGTGGGGATTCTTTTCCATGTGCATTTTAACCTTCCATCACATCACCGCAGTCTGTCAGTTTAGTCTTGGATCTAATCATTTGTTTCTTCCTTTAGAATGAGAGGTTTGTTTTCATCCTCATAATTCGTAGCTGTGATCATTAAATCTTTCTTGTCTTTTCAATGTGTGTTCCAGTTTGTCACTATTGGGAGAAAAAAACCACATAGGTGAATTTCACAGAACTTTCTGGATTCTTATTCTGCTGTACTGACATCAAGTTATTATTCCAGTGCCTTTTAATGAAAAGGTAGTAGGCTTGTATTTGGTGTCATGCATTCCAAAGAATGTCTTACAAAAGCACTGTGAATAGTTATTTGTGGTGCAATTAGTACTTACATATTAAAAAAATAAAAATGAATACTAACAGGCTTGCTGTGTGGACAGTTTTCTCATACGAATTTATTACAACCTGAAATCAACTAGGGAGAACCATTCTTTCTTTCCTCACTGTGTTGCTCACTTACCGAGTAATATTTCATTCTTTTGAATAGGAGGAAAAGGAAGATGGTCATGTTTGAAATAGTCCTGTGAGACGGTCCTGTACGAGTCTGTCATTTTCCGTCTAACACCAGTTGAGAAGTGGGAAAGCCAATTATAGAAAAAATGTCTCCATGCTATTTATGAACCTTGTTAGATTTAAAACTGATGGGAAGTTTCTGAGTGCTGGGAGTTGTCAGGTAGTGCAGTCCACTGGGCAAAGACATCTTCATTTTTGCAAAGGCTTTCCTGGAGTCGAGGTGCTGCCACAGCATAACAAGGTGGACAGGAAGACGCTGCCCACCTCTGCGGCCACAGTATGTGCACGCTCTGTATGTGAGTAGCATTGTTCATAAAGCTATGCTTGCAGAAAAAGATCTGGAGAAAGAATGGCCAGTGGTTTGGGGCCATTACACTGAAAACGTTCCTTATTTCCGGAAGACTAATGAACATCTTTTAGGGCTGGGTATGTGCTTGCTTACTGGAGGAAAACTTAAGTTCAGCAATGAAGAAGCAGATGGTAAAGACAGAGACTGTATAATATTTTCATGAAATTGAAGTCTCTCTACTGAATATAGTCTTGCTGTGTGAAAAACCAACAAACAAAGAACAACAACAACAAATTAAGTATCTGATAGGCTTTCGTCTTCATAAGCAAAAGGTTCTTAGAAATCTCTTTGCCCTGTTGCAAAAGAAGTCTCTCCATATAAGTAAAACCAAAGGAAAACTTTGCTCATTCTGACAATGGAGATATTTGAGATTAGATTAAAGGAGACCGTGATCTCCATGGGAAGGTACAAAGTTCTAAGGAATAGGCACATTAAATGATTAACAAGATCATGCTTATTTAAAAACCATCAAACCTAAAGAAATCCTGGGTGACCAAAAGTGAATAAATTGATTTTCTCAAAAAAAAAAAAAAAAATCCCTGAGTTAATGCCAGGATCACAGTTAATGACTTTGGGACAAAATCTCCAATGTGTGGGAGCTTAATTGTATCAATAGTCTCTGAAATTTTCACACTACTTTTAAAAAAATCAATAGATAAATAATATATCTCACTTATTGTTTTCATATATGTTAGCATGTATGGACAGTTTATTTTCTTTTTATTCCTTGGATTTTCCTGAGTATCCAAAAAATTAAAGGCACCAAGAGGGCCACCAATGGATAGAAGAAAGGGACATTGTTATAAATATTATCAAAATGTAGATGTGATAGTATGTATTACTTTTCGCCTGCTGTGTCATAATCATTCCACAAACTAAAACAACCAGGGTTATTATTTCACGGTCTTAGAGGGACTGGTGTTCCTACAGAGCTTACCTGAATCCTATGCACATGGCCAGTCAGGGTTGAGTTTCTAGACACATGACCCTCCCCTGCGTGGTCTTTCTCCCTCAGATCTGTCCAGGAGTGTCCTCCAAGATGGCAGCCCAGTCCGAGGTAACGAAACCATAAGAGGACCCAACGCTTGCCATATTCTATTGGTTCGAAGTCAGCCACAGGCCGTCAGGATGAGGGGGTGCCCCAGGGTGTGCATATCAGGGGCAGGGCCATCAAGGTCTCCTTAGGGTCTTCCTGCCACAGGTGATCTCTGTTCCATTGTCACTCATGCCCTCCACATGCAAAATGCCTTTCACTTAATCCCAAGGTCCCCCAAAGTCTTATCCTATTCAGTCATCTTCCCCAAGCCCAGAATTTTACCATTCAAGTCAGTCTCAGACACGCATGAGGCTCCCTGGGTGCCGGGCCTCTTGGTCTGCCATTCTCTAAACGAGAGGCAAGTTACCACTCGATATGCAACAGTCGGGCAGGGAAAGGATGCCAGCAGGAGATGTTGCTGTTTAAAAAGAGGCAGATGGAAATAACAGGGAACTCGCTGCTCCCTGGGAATGCCGGACCCTAGCCAGGCAGGCCTTGGGAGGTGCTCAGATGAAGTTTGGATCTGCCCAATTTGCTTCCGTCTACACAACTGGCTCGTCCCTATTTTCTTAAAGGTATCAAGCACCTGCAGCCTGTCAGCCCAATTGCCAGTGCTGTGCTGGGTTTCCCTCAGGCTTTCATTTAAATGGTCTCTGTCCCTGTTAACCCAAGCGGGTGGTATTTTTGCTAAAATAACCTTCAGAAGAACTTTATGGCTCTTCATGGGTTTCCCTGGGGTCTCCCCACTGGACAGAAGCCACACCTGCAGATCTCCCTAAGATAGCCCTACTGTGCCTTCGGGTGCCCCAGCAGCCTGGGAGACAGAGCCCTCCTGTTCCTAGGGTCCCCCTGCGACCAAGAGGATCCCTGAGCCACCCCTTGCTTGTGACATCTTAGAAGGATGCTATGCTTGAACTCCATGTTACTCTGATTCTCTTATATTTCTGAGTTTTCACAGTAATACCCTTAGCTTTCCCCTGAGGCCAGCTTTTCCTGATGGTGCTTAGAAGCTGTTTCTTAGTTTTGGCATCTTTGGCATCAGGAGAAGCAGGTTCCCCAAAACCATGCAGCCTCTGTTTGCTTTGTTGAATGGAGTGGCCCTCAATTCTCTCTCCTCCTACATTTTACTGTGAGCAGCAAGTGCTGGGGCAGCACCTTGCACACTGTCCTCCTGAGTTTCTGTAGTTGTGTGACCCGCTTGGCTACAGGTTCCTCTTTCCATGATTATGGTAGGTAATCATTTTGGAAGCTTTCTACCTTTGGATAACTAAGCTTTCCCTTCTTCCAGTTTCTAATCACATGCTCCTATCTCCTTGTTATTTTTATTGTAGTAAATTACAGACAACGTGAACTAGCCACTTACCCACTTTTAAGTGTATAGTTGACAACCGTTAACACATGGATAGCGTGGTGCAGCCATAGCCTCCCGTCTCCATAGCCTTCTCCTTGCTCCTAAGCAGTGTATCCCCATCCTAGCATCCTCTAACCCCTGGCAACCTCCAACCCCATCTCTGTCCATTTGCCTGTTATGATCTGCATTTCATGTAAGTGGAACCCCAGTGTTGCCCTTTGCCATCTCTCTTGGCTCACTTAGCATTATGGGTTCAGGTTCATGGACATTGTAGTTGGACCAGAATCTCATTCCTTTCTTAAGGCTTAATAGTATTCAGCTGTATGGCTGTAAGTGCCTTTACTTATCCATTTGGCCATAAGTGGTGCCCACGTGGGCTATTTCTACATTTTGCATATTGCCAAAAATGTGATGATGAACATTGGTGTACAGGTATCTGTTCAAGTTCCTGTTAAATTCTTCTGTGCATGTGTCTAGGACTGAAGTTTCTGGGTCGTATGTTAATTCTTTGTTTAGCTTTTGGAGGAACTGCCAAAGAGCTTTCCACTAAGATCTCTCCATTGAACATTCTTAACAGCAATGTATGAGTGTTCTAATTCTTCCAGATTCTTGCCAACACTATTTTCTTGCTTTTGACTATAGTCACCCTACTGTGTATAAAGTGAGTATAATAAAGTGTATAAAGTGAGTCTTATCATGGTTTTGATTGGCATTTCCCTAATGACTAAATGTGCTCATTGTATATATTATTTGAAGAAATATCTAATTGAGTCCTTTTCCTATTTTCTAATTGGCTTGTCTTTTTCATCATGCAGTTTAGTTATTTATCCTAGTTTGTTCAAAAACCCTTGCTGGCAGCATCCTCAAATCCAAATTTCTACTAATAGGCTTTACAAGTTGATTTAAGCTTTCTCTATAATGTTCCTCAAATTCTTTCTTCTACCTCTTCTCTGATCCCAAAGGCACTTTCCCCATTTGGGGGGATTTATTTATTTATTTATTTATTTATTTATTTATTTATTTATTTATTTATTTATTTTAGGAACACCATACTCCACACTGCTATGATATCTTCTAGTAGTCATCACATAACAGTGTTGTTATCACAAATGTGCTGTTTCAAGCACCTCCTGTGTTAGCTTGCCGCTTCTCTGGGTTTCAATCCTAGACACAGCTCCGCTATCTTTGGTGGTGGGGTGGCAGTCTGCAATGTAAGTGCACACCAGGCTCCCATTGAGCTAGAGGAGAGGCATCTGCTTCTTAGACCAGACAGTTGTGGCAACCATCACGTCCTTGCAGGCTGACCACCTAAGGGCCTCAGTTTTTCACTGGATATAAACTAGAGTATACCCTCACTTCTTTAATACCAGGCATTACTCACCTTACTGGTTGCTTCCTCGAAGACAGAAAGAGAAACTTCCCTAAAGTAAAGGCATTATGATCTTACATGTCATAATCACAGAAATGACTTTCATCACCTTGGACATATTCTGTTGGCTAGAAGTGAGTGACAATTTTGTCTTGCCCATCCTCAGTTGGAGGGGATTAAGCAAAGTGTGAGTTCCAGCAGGTGGGTATCAGATGGGCCACATTAGAGTCTGTACAATGCATTATCAAACCTTAGGGTCTTAAGAACCAATGGGATTTCATTATATGATTATTTTTGTCTTTATGGTATGTTTGCTTCATGTTGTGATAAACCAAAGTGAGGTTTTCTGCACATTGTTACTCTGTTCTGACATGTTGTCTTAAATATCATGGTGGACTTTATATATATATACAGTTTTTTTCTGGCTGCATAAGAGATTGAATTACTCCAGTATTCCCCAATAAAAGGATTATTACTTACCATGAACAATGAGAAAATGGCTCTTGAAAGGGCTCTCCTTGGTTCAGCCTGACAAGTTGTAGTAAGGAACTACCTTGGACCCAACTGGAATGGAATGGTTTGTAGCATAAAGAAATGCGAGAAGCAGCATGGTGCAGTGTTGAGACCCTGCCTGTGTGGAATTGTGAAGGCTTTTCCTTCACAGAGACTAGGTTTATGGAAAAATGGATAATTTATGGAGAAACACGGTGGGTCATCAGTTAGCTTTTAAATGCAAAATAAGAATGAGCAGTCATGAGCAAAATTAAAATCTTAATTTTTAATGCATCATGAAATGCATCTGTGACTTTCTTTGCTTTAAGATACTAGAGTACTAACAGAGCCAATAAAAATTTAGGAACATTTAGCTGGTCATCTGGTAAAGGCCAGAAGCAGCCTCGGAACCAGAGAAAGGAGGAGCCGACTACTGGCCCGTTGTGTGGACACTTTTGTCTGTAAATTAATCAAGATCCTTAAGCAGAGATGCCAGGTCTCTGGTTTCCCATCATTGTTGGTGTTCCCTGGTCTAATGAGGGGGCTTCTCTTGGGGGTGCAGCTGGTTGGGGTCAGGGTGAGGAGAGCCAGGAGGAAACTGATCTCTCACAGTGGCAGGGGATCCAGGCATGGGGCCTTCTAGGGGCTCTGCCTCTGAGCAGTCTCTTCCAGCCTGAATTCCTGGGGGTAAACCCAGACACAAAGGGGAGAGATAGCCTAGCAATTTCTGTTTACCTCTGACCTTTCTCATCACAGTCTTGGAATTACAGAGAGTGACAACTCAGGAAATCCTGGGGTGGCCTGTTTCATAGGACTACTGTGGAGGGAGGAAGAGGGAAAAAGAGAAGGCCATTAGCTGACAACCTTAAAATGCAGCCCTGGAGATGATTTATTGACAATGTTGGAAAGTTCTGGTCTACATGCACAGGTTACCCTGCAGTAGATCTGTAACTATAATAACAGGCTGAGAGTTTTCAGAGGTGGCCTGCTGCAGGGAAATACAAGAAAGTATTTATGCGTTATGATTTATTTTGCTCTGGGGATATGGTAGCTCAGATGCTGAGCTTTTTATTAAAATTCAAGGGCTCTATGAGCATTTTTAGTAAGACTTTCCTTTGCCCTTGCTGCCCTTTGTGTGTGTGCGAGTGTGCATGTGCACTGAAAACTGAAATTAGGGAAAACAAGTCTAATAAGCCATACCTTTAAATATCAGTTTAGAAATGGTTCTATTTACATACACGTGGACATTTAGAATTAAACGCAGAGTGTGTTCTGAGGTCCTGAGTTTTCTTGACTTCCCTAAAACCTGCTCTCAAAACAAAAGACAGTTTCCTCCTGGAATACTCCGAGCACCAACACATATGCTAACATTTACTTCTTGGAATACTGTGCTTCAGGTAGACTTCCCAAGGCAGATTCTCCCAGCCTATTGGAGCCTCAGTCTTCCCCCTCAGGCCATGTTCTCCTGATTAGGGGGCTCCCCCCCTGTCCCCAGGCACTTGAGAGTGTCCTCTCCTGAGGGCTCAGCACTGCAACACTGCTTCCTTGAGAGGGAGACCTAGCATTTCCACATCTGAAACCCTGAAAGGATGAGGAGTGGGAACTGTTCAGGTTATTGGCCTCTCTTAAATGTGAATGTTAAAAGAAACTAAACAGACCCTCTGAGGGCCCCTCAGCAGTGACCTCTTCCTGGAAGTGACAGGGCCTCCAGCCTTCAGCAGGGAGGCTGCTGTGGACTCCATTATTGCTGCACCATATCAACTCTACCAAGCCCTGTCTTCCTCCTTCCTCCCCCTTCTTTCCACCACCATGGCACCTGAATATCTTGGACTGTCCCTCATTTGCATTGCTGCCATCCAGATTCCAGGATTGGGTATCTGCACTTCCTGCTGTTGGCCTCCCCTCTCTTTGAAGGTTCAGGCCCCACACTGAAACTTGGAGAGCTCCTCAAACCTCAGGGGTTGCAGGCCACCTGTGTGATTAGTGCCCACCCCACAAGATGACTCTTCACTCTAACTCTGACAGTGCTCTTTTGTCTGCAAAGCTCCATGGGACTTCCTTGGTTTCTTGCAAACCAAGTTCGCATTCTTTCCCTCTATCTGGCAAAGCTAGCTCATTCCGTTGCCTGTCACCTCCCCCTGTTGTCTTTCACCATCACCTTTCTTACCTTGCTCTCTAGTGTCTACATCTCATGACTCCCTGAACACCAGTGGGTGTCCATGTGCCTCATACTATTGGCGGTTTCCACGGGGCCTCGCTTCCTGCTTTATGCTCCAGCCATTCCTGAAGCCTCACATTCTCCATGAAGGGTTCTGGTTTGACAGAAGAACAGTTGACCCTTCTCAACATTCTCTGTAAAGAAACTACATTCCCCAAACTCCTTTCCTTGGTTGCTGGCTACCACTTTCCTACATCTTCTTCTCCAGAAATGCATTTCCTTTGGTGTGTGGCACATTCAGAGTGACAACAGGTTATGGTACAAGTACCCCCGTGTGTTTAGTTGGTGTTTTCCTCTTCTGCCTCTTGTGAGCCCCTATTCATTGAGTTTAAATAGTCCTTTAAATAATCAGAAGTGACTGGGTGAACTAGGCTGTATTCAGAGTGACTTCTTGTTTGGGGTTAGTTTGTTTGTTTGCTCATTTTCCCCAATTCATTTCATGTCCATAGGATTATACAGCAATGTGACCAGTCCTGGAGCTAAAGGGGTTTTGGGGTATTTGGCTAAAAATTGATAAAATGGATGTGTGTGTAGAAGTCTAGAATTGAACCACTGCAAATACAACAAATATGTGTAGAATTGTATACTAACTCATTTAAAATAATCTGTCGTCTTTTAAATAAAAGTCATTTAACAACATTCTGAGAGCCTAAAAATAAATTTAAAAGTGCTATAACCTAAGCAGTAAATGTCATGGGCCTTTGTGCCAAACTCATGCTTTCACTTACCCTAATGAGATGATGCAACTTACTTGATTCAGGAATTAGAAATGAATCCAAATAAAGCTCTGCTGGGTTTGTGTTCTTAACCTACTTTATCTTCCGATGTTTGTGTTTAGAAGATAATTGCCCTGCCTAGCTAGTTTCTCTTTGCTCTTATTTTGGGGTGTCTATTTGAAGAGTTTTGTTTTGTCTTGTTTCTCCTCTAATTGGCCGCACAGGAAGATCCATCCTGCATTGTGAGTTGAGCATTTTCTTCATTGTCTGCTGTGCATTCCATTGTCTGTGCACACAGCATGGCCAGCACCACATCTGCCTCCTGTCATGTGCAACCACTGCAAATACAGCAAGCCCCTCCACGCAGAGCATGCCCATGTGCGCAGCCTCTGGTGCAGGGATGGAGAGTGGGAAGCTCAGTTGTCTCGTGCGGCACTTAACAATTTCCTTTTCCTCTTGGATTCCTTCCCTATTACAGATACTGCAATGAGCATTTGCTATGTCCACCGCACATGTTCTGGACAGGCTGGGGTCCTTGGGAACGGTGCACAGCCCAGTGTGGTGGTGGCATTCAAGCTCGCCGCAGGACCTGTGAGAATGGGCCCGATTGTGCAGGCTGCAACGTGGTGAGTAGTCTCCTCATGCCCAGCCTGCAACCCAGAGTTGGGCATCCAGACTCGGTACCAGCTCAGCACTCTGCATACACTGGATGCTTTGCACTTATTTGACATACTGTAAGCACTAGATGGTCTGTACACGTCAAGCGTCTGCACACATGAAGTGTCCTGCAAACTCTTTATGCTCTGCAGGCACAAAATGCTTTACGTACACTACGTGTCTAGATACTGCACGTCTGCAGGCACTTGGTGCTCTTCCACAGCAGAGCTCCTGCCAACATTGACTCTCGGCAGATGCCATATGTTCCCCGAGCATTCGATGTTCCATAAACACAACATGTCCAGGCACCAGATGCTCTGTATACATTAAATGGTGTGAGTTGTGAAATTTTCTCTGGCTAATGGAACTGACCCAAGGAAGTGCAGGAAAGTAGAGTACTTGGATTAAGTATGCACACATGGGATGAACTGCCCCGGGAGTGTTGCCTTTGTGAGTCCTGAACTAGCACATACGCTTCAGCATTTGACTCCAGTCCTTCCATTTGGTCTAGCACACTGGATGATGCCCGCGAGTGAGGCTCACACCCAGCATAGGACGCAGGACAAACCTCACACTTCCTGGGGACAGAGACACAGTGGAGCCAATGTCAGAGCATGTTGGTGTCAATTCTGAGGGAATAGAAGGCAACTTATGGTTTTATTTTTCTTCTGCCTTAGGAGGTCATATTTCTTTTAACACTTTAAACAGTCCAATAAAATTCTGCTTTTGCAAGCTCCTTTCAAAAGGCCCATTGTTGCTGGCCCTGCTTCTTTGTTCAGGATGACTGAGCATGGATCCTGCAGGGTGCTCACCTGGCTCACCCTCCCTGGGGCTGCCCCAGTGTGCAGGAGAGATGTGGCCAGTGCTTGGGGGAGAGGCTATGCAGGGGGGGAGCTGACTCTGCCTGCTGCCCTCTGACCTTTCCTGTTGGTCTTCCATCCATGCCCCAGTCTGTGAGGCTGAGAAGGTCTTTGTGCTGCTGTGAAGCCTGCTGCTGTGAGCTGCAAACCCACACACTGCAGGGGCCCAGGGGACTTCAGAGAAGGGGAGAAGCTATGGGGTGCTGCATGGGTCTTGCAGCAGACTGAAGGAGGCTTTTTGGATTGGACTTTGTCATTCCATTTTCTTCCCTTCATGTCGTCAAAGTTATTGTAGTGATTCTAATCAGATCTATCACTGCTCACAGAGACAGGTCTTCCCAGATGCCTCTGAACTAACCATAGACCAGGAAAAATCTCACTGTACACTGTGTATGAGAAAATGTTAATTCTTAGACCAACATATAGATAAATATTTCAAATACCAAAATTCAGAATTATTTATTATAACGTCAACGGTGTCATCTCTCTGCTTAGCCGTCTCCTTGGCTCCTGATCCCTCTGTGTCTGAGTGCAGGGTCTTCAGTTCCACATCAAGATTTTTCTCAACCAGCTGGGATTTTGGCTCAGCAGTAGAGTGCGTGCCTAGCATGTGCGAGGCCCTGGGTTTGATCTTCAGCACCACATAAAATAAATAAATAAATAAAATAAGGGTATTATGTTCACCTACAACTAAAAAATAGATATTAACCAAAAAATAAATAAATAAATAAAAATAAAAAGGATTTTTCTCACCTGCGGGAAACCAAGGCAGGGATAGCGTGAGATGATCTTGCACCTTAGATTCTAAGCACTTTTCTGCCTAAAGAATGAGAAAATAGTGCATATCTTTCACTTTCTTGCTGTGAATTAACTTCAATAGTTATATTCAAAACTGATTCATGAAATAAAAATATATTAAGGAAGAGTATAGCATATCTCTTATGAACTTACTAGGATGTGTGTGTGTGTATGTCTGTGATACATCTGTTCATAAATATAAAAATTGGAGGTCTTCCAAAATGTCAATGTATTTGTTGCTTTATTTGCTACAGTATTATGGTTTATAAAACAAATGTAACCTTGGCTTCCAAATCCAGAAAAATATAACTCAGAATTCCCTCCAAGGATAGCAGATGTGTTTGAGCAGAATAAAGACAGTGCCAAATACAGCAAAAATAATTTGAAGAGAGAAACAGACGTGGCGTTGCCAGCACAATATTAATACACATATTTTACTGAAATACCAGGCAAAGCATAAAGCAGTTGAACAAAAATCTATAATTTAAGTTATGAACAGGAAACATAGGATAGATGTTTATTTCCTTGATACAAAAGAACCAGAAAGTTCAAGAAGAAAGATGTTACAATCAGTATACACTGTCAGAAGGAACTCTCTGAAGGTTAATCAGAGCAGATAAGTGCCATCAAATGCATTTCTGTCAAATAATGGCATTGTGGATAAATTTAGGAGCAAGTGAAATCCGGCAAGTGGAAGTTTAAACATGTTGTGATATATGAAAATCACCACGATGTGACCCATTCCTCACTGTTGTGTAGTTCATGAGCCCACGGGTCTGTTTTTCCAAGTGAGAAAATGGAGACCCATGGACCAGTATTAGGTGTCTGAAGCCAATTGCCAGAGGAGCAACACCCCAGGCCAGGCTCTTCACTTCATAGTGAATCCAATCAATCCTAAAGAGATCCAGGTGCTGTGGGCCCTCCTTAAATATAGCAGCAAGAACAGTGAGACCATAGGCCGAAGTTCAGACCGGCACCCACAACATGAGACCCCTAAAAGTCTAGAACAGGAGCATTGTGCATTTATCTCTTGTTTCCTACATTTCTAAAAAGGCTGGGTTGACTTTGCTGCAGGCCACTAATATATGAACTAGTTCAATTTTAAAGGACCTCAGTAGTCAAACAAAAATTATTTTAGGTCCATGCAATATACATTTTTAAGAGTTACGACCTGCATACGGCTTCTTCTGCCTGGTCATCCTGCTCTTGTTCAGAATGACAGTTCAGAACCAAAGTTCAGGATTTTCCTACAAGTCACTTTTGCTTTTTTTTTTTTCAGTATTTTCAAAAGTAGTAGTTAAATTCTTCTAAATTTGGCAATATTTTGAAAGACACGGTAAGCAAGTTTTGTTATTTAAAAGAAATTTTATCTTGACTTTTGACAATCGAAATTTTTTTTGATAAGAATGATAATCTAATTTTGTAAATATGTCTTTACAGACTTTATCACATACTTTCTGAGCTTCCTGGTGTTATACTCTCTCAGACTTTGGTAGTTTTGTTGTTGCTGGGACAGTGTTAGTCAATTCCTTGTGTATGACTGTATCAGGGAGCAGCTTATTGAGTGCTACATGGACAATTGTTACCCTTAGTTTTAAGAAAAACCCATATCTCTTCTTTCTAGTTTGCTGAAATAATCCTCAGTTCCTCCATTTAAATTTTAGTGCTGCAATGTCTTAGTGTTATCTACTTTTACTCCAATGGGTGAACTGGCACTGCCTTTTGCCATAAGATAGAAAGGCGACCTGGGAGACTGACATTTATTTTTTACAAGTGAGTAGCAGTTTTAAACTTGGCTGCTTGTGTGTGTGTGTCATGGTTGGTGCAGGAATGTGGGTCTTACCTCTCCTTTAAAACCCTCTGTGGAAAGCCTCCACAACTGTCTATGGCACTGTTAGGAGGTGGTGGGGTCTGTAAGAGGTGGGGCTAAGTGCAGGGAAGCTGGATCACTGGGGAATGACCTCTGGGGCTATTGGATGCTGCCCCTCCCTTCCTCTCCTCTCTACCATGTGTTCCCTGCTCTGACCTGCAGCTCACCATATGCCTAAAAGCAAAAGGACCATCCAGTCATGGACTAGAACCTCCAAAACTGTGAGCCACAGCAAACCTTTCCTCTTCCTAAGGTGGTTATCTCAGGTGTCAGCAAAGTTAGGTTCCTGTGTTGACTCATTTTCAACAATGGCTTCCTGGAAATCCATAGTCCTGCCTTGGAGGATGGGTGGGTTTCCACAAGGAAGAACACAGAAAGTCTTCTCATACATGCATTGTGACTCCAACATTTGCTCTACTGCAGACTAGGCCATTGCCAGTTTAAATTAACTTTGATGCATTGGTTAATGTGCTGTTATCACGCTGTGGGCCTGGATCCTTTTCCAAATCTTTGCTTGATACCCTTAACAATATGACTAAAACCTCACTCACCAATATGGACCCTGTTGTCTGGGCTGTTCTCAAGGGACACAGATGGATGTGTTTGGAAGCTTTTCTTACTTTAATGAGCCAATGGCCTTTCTAATTTACATACAACAAATTTTATCCATGGTTTATGAAAATACCATGTTATAATACAAAAAAGGCAATTTTCTTAAATAAAATTTGATAAATATGATCAAATAGTTTAATTCCATTGAAAATGTTCAGAATTTGTGTAGAAAATTAGTATTCTTTGTTGCCATTATCATCATCAGCCATTGAAATAGCTTAGTGATAGGCTTTGTTTAAAGCACTTCTTGGGGATGTATTATTGATTCCAACCACCCAGTGGTATGGCATTATGAGTAACTGCCATCTAGATGAGGAAACTTGGCCTGAACAGGCAGATGACTCAGCTCCTGCTGCGCACAGTCAGACTCCAGGCCAGCCATTCTTGGTGAAGGTCTATGTTTTCTCCACTCCATGGCCTCATCAAACATTTGAAGATTAATCAAAAAGGAAAAAGATTACAAGTTTCCTAATGTTAACCTAAACACCAAAATAATTACAAATTTGGTTTTACCCAGCTAAATGTGATACATAGTAAATTTGATAAAATGAATAATTTTAATTAAAATCTGAAAAAAGTTAGTCATTTATTAAGGATGACAGCCATGGGTGGTGGGTTCAGGATGGTCTAGAGAAGTGAAAGATCCTTGGGGAAGTCCCTGATACCCAGATGCACCTGAGAAAGGGTGCCCGCACTGACTTTTCTCCTCCAAAGCCACTATGTATAATCTGGCAGGTAGGGGACTGCATGATTCCTCAGGGAGGGCACTGATCATTTTTCAGAGATGATGTGGATAAACAGTGCCCCCTGAGTGTCACCCCAGCCCTGG